CTCCATATATCTATTCTTCCCAAATGCCAGAGGCTGGCTCTGAGCCAGATGTCTTCAGGGTCCTTACTGTGTTTGTTGGTTCTGGTGAGAGCCCAGCAAATATCTTTCGGGTTCAACCTGGGAATTTCACATATCTACTGCTTGTGCTGTAAATACCCTTCAGGGTCCATCCGTTTTGAGGAAATACACTGGGCATGGGTTTTATCGTATTAATACATTATTCGGTGAACTCAGCATTGAAACAAAAAATCCTAAAAAGAGATCGGGTCCCCTATGAAATATGAAACACGTGTGCTGATGGAACGGTGGATAAATCGATCCAGCTGGAACTCTTGAAAACCTCGATTCCTAGCCAGTCACACACAGGGCTTCCTGCCCATCGAGGAATCAGAAATTTACATGTGACCTGTAGGAGTGGGCAGCATGGCCCAATGTGAACTTCATAGGTCAGCAGAAAAAGTGGCATCTGTGGTTCAAGACTCGTAAAAGAATGTTCTTCTCTCCCAGGGGGAAGGTGTGGTCTAACAGTGAATAGAAAAAGGGCTCTGGAGCTTGATTGGTCTGGATGTGGATTCTGGCTCTGGGCAAGGAACTCAATTTTTCTAAACTCAGGTTTCTGACTGCAGTATGGGCATGATAACCCCTTCCTTGCAGGGGAAATGCAGACGTTAGGAATATAATGTGTACTGTGCAAACAGTGCCTGGCATAAGCACTCATGGAAGAGTAGTTGAACCGTCATATAACATGCATAAGATATTCCGATGTCACGCTGCTTGGGCGGGTTGGGGGCTGTGAGAGCCTGTGAGGGCTGTTAGGTGAGGCGTACCAGGGGACCCGGGGCTCTTCAGCTGCTGGCCGTGGGCGAGCTCGGGCTGAAAGGTCTGCCACGTGCTGTGACTGCAGCTGGGGCAGCCTGTTAGCATGCTGTCTGGAATCGAACTGGCTACTGGAATCTCAGATAGTTAAAGTGCAATGCTCAAAGGAAGGCCCTTCAGCACAGACCTGTAGCTACACTGACCTTCAGGTTAAACAAAAATCCCTCTTAAGGTCTCACATAAGGCCATCGATCTTGCTGCAGTGCCGTTTTTCTTTGGAGCCTTTGTCATTATCACAGGCTCCCTCTGGCTGGGCTGGCTGGCAATGTTGGAGGGGGCTGGGCGGATGGGTGGCTTCCTGCCCCTGCCTCTGGATTTTACCACGTGGGCATCCTCTACTATGCATTCAAAGGCGCCTGGGATTACTCTGGACATTTCACCTTAGTCCTAGGAGAAGAGTCACAGATGGGACAGTTGAGCTTTAAGACAGTGAGCAGAAACAATGGCTACTCACTAAGGAATTCTGCATATTGCAGATGTTTTTACATACTATGATCATGTTGTATGAGGCCCATCTTAGCTATTTGTTAGCTAGGTTAGTATCTTCAGAAGGGACAGAGTATGATTAGCTAAGAAAGATGTTATACTGTATATTTCACTCATATTTGGAATCTTAAAAAGCCAAACACATAGAAACAGCTAGTATAATGCTGTTTACCTGAGACTGGCGTTTGGGAATTGGCAAATGTTGTTCAAAGGGTACAAACTGTTAAATATAAGATGAATAAGTTCTGAGCATCTAATATACAGTATAGTGACTATAGGTAAATGTATTGTATTATATAGTTGAAAGTTTTAAGAGAGTAAATCTTAAATGTTCTTACCACAAAGAAAAAGGTAAATATGTGAGGTGATGAAGATGGTAAATGATAATCATTTTTTGATATATATGCATATCAAATAATCTAATTATACACCTTAAACACAGTCTTTTAAGTGCATTATATCTAAATAAAGCTGGGAAGGAGAGGAAGAAGGAAGATGGCTAAAAGGAAGGAGGGAGGGGGATGAAAAAATGAATCCTCTCGAGGGGGTCAAAATCTTTTACTCTTCTTCACATAAATTTAGCCATAAAACAGAGGCTTATTGGAAGTATCGAACCTGGGTTAACCAGGCCATAGAAAACCAACTGCCTCCATGACTGTCTTTAGCAGAAGAAAGAACAGAATCACAGTTATTGCTTTTGCCTCTCACTCCTACTCCCTCTCCTGTGGATTAATCCACCTCTTGTCCCCATCCCGCCAAGCTCTGGATGTGCATTTATGGCTTTAGCAACTTACTTTTTTGGTTGTGAAGCCTAATAGGCTGTGTGGCTTCCCCTCCCTTTTTCCTTGTTGTTCGAACCCCCTATTGGTCCATGGAGATAGTTATCCCACTTTTATTTGGGGATATATCTTTGTTATTTCTTTATAAAGTGTAACTTCTCTATATTGCTGTGGACTTTGGGGAGATGAAATATTTTTTTCTGCATGAAAGATTACCATTTACATTCAAATGCAATGAAACAACATGCCAGTTTCATAAAAAAGTGTAAAAATTTTGAATATATAGAAGCCTTCTCCAACACCTGAAACTAGGATCTGACATAGATATAAATCCATGTCTTCTAACTTCCTTGCCCTTCCCTTGACATCACATTGCTTTTCAGGAGATAATCACTGAGACCAGGCCAATGGCAAAGCAAGAGAAACAACCATTAAAAAAAATTCCGTCTGACCTAGTTCTCACTGGGATCATCATCCTAAGCCACAGGCCTTGCTATTTTCTGACACTTCTGGATGTTCCACCTTGGTATCCAACGTGCACTGAGGCTACAAGGCCACAGTGCTATCCTTGCCATTCACAGTAAATCAGTTTGCAAATTCCCTAGACCTTCCTGCAGAGGTGTATGGGGTTGTGCTGAGCAGCCATAATAATGGGCCTCCCTCTGGGAGCAGTGTGGCACCAATTTGAAAGCCTCCAATCTACATAGTAAAATAAGGCCATTAACCACCGTTCTGTGCTTTCCACAAAGAGGCAGATAGCTGAATGAGGGTCCAAATTGCCTCCTTCACCATTTCATTCTATATACCTCAGTGCTGAGAGGATCAGCAGATGGAGAGATATCAAGTGTTTTCAAGGCCCTATGTCTGTGTTGGCATTCAGGCCTTCATTTGTTGCTTGGAATTACTTGACAGAAAACATTGTGGTGGTCGGTGCTCAAGGAAGAGGAAACTAGAATGGGGGCACTTTGCTCAGGACAAACAGTGAATCCTCTCCTCCCGTTCCAGAATAAAGTCTCTTGAGTCCTGGGCTTGGTTGTTCACACAGACAGAACAATAACCATAGGAATGCTAATACCCTGAGCTCCTTCCAGAGAATCTGAATATTTTTGTTTTCTATCTCTCCCAAGAAAGAATGAGAGTAGGGCTAATGGCCATCATATATTTGCTGGGCACCTGATACCTGAGGAATTTAGATCACAAAGGGTGGGGAAGCTCAGTAACCAGACAGATATATAATTATAGACATATAATAGCTATATTTTCAATCTTTTATTTATAAAGTACACACGTATCAGTTTTGTGCTAGGCACCGAAGATACAATGCTGAATAAGAGAGATAGCTTAGATTCCTTTATGTGAAGTATGACATGTACTCCTCCCAAATTTTCTGTTGATGACAAAATCCTATCATCAGGCACCTCATAATTTGGTATTCTTTCATCACCTCTAGGGTGAAGCTCCATATGGTGACTTTCTTCAGACTGGAGCCACTGGACATGTTTCCCTTCTCCTGTGGAGCTTCTGGTGTCTAAGAAGGCTTGACCGCCTGCTGAAATTTCTCCTGCATATGCTACAGGAATAAGGCTGCTCACCTGTGTGGGTTCTCTGGTGCTTAATAAGGTGTGAGTTTTGAATGAATCTTTTTCCACATTCATGACATTTAAAGGGCTTCTCTCCTGTGTGAATTCTTAGGTGTGTGTGCAGATTTGTGTTATGACTGAAGCTTTTCCCACACCATGAGCATCTATATGGTTTTATTCCTTGGTGTGCCAGTAAGTGTTTATTAAGATCTGAACTCCACCTAAACCTCTTATCACACTGTTGACATTTATAGGGTTTCTCTTCAGTGTGAATTCTCTGGTGCTTAATAAGGTCAGAGCTAACTCTAAAGCCTTTCCCACATTCCTGACATTTAAAAGGTTTCTCTCCTACATAGCCTTTCCTATGAAGATCCATATGTTTTGGAAGCTCTTGTTTACAAGTTGAAAGTTTCTTTCTTTTCTTCCCTAGACAAGCTCGAGGCCGTTTCTGTACCCTGTGTGTATCACCATGATTTTCTTTGCCAGTTGTTTTCTGGGCAACTTTCATTCTGGCCTTTCTTAATACTTTGCATCCTGATGCTTGTATTTCTAATGTAGAAGTAGATATAGGTTGGTCATTTCCAGTGTCTTTTTTGAGTTTTAACCCTGTTGGAACAAACAGAAGAATCAGCCATCTGTGTCCCAGAACAAGAAAACTGGGAATGGAGCAAAAAAATCGATGACTGCTTTTTAAAAAATAGAGGAAAAAGTGATTTCTGGTCCAATCTCGACAAAATTGCATAGACCCATTTCTCCCTAATCCTCTTTGCCAGGCCCAACAACTAACCCATTAAAGAATGTAAGACACAACCAACAGAGAATTCTAAAAAGTGGTAAAAAGAAGGCAAAATGGTTTGGACCCCAGGACCAGTAGAATAGCATAGCAAGGTTATCTAGCACCCCCACACCCGACAAAAGAAGGCATCCCAGATCTAGTGTTTCCTAACCCTCAACCTAGCAATAGAAGGCTGCCTGGATAGGCTTATCTCTTCCCAAGTCTGAATGGGAAACCTTCTGACAACATCAGAACCTATTAGGAGACACCAAAGTGGGCAGGCAGAACTAGCAACAGGTACCCAGGCACGACAAGTGGCCTGGAGAGGCCTCTTCATCCCTGTGAGTCTGAGACTCCCCATTTTCATTGAGAGACACTTGGGCCTACATAAATACCTTCCTTACCCTCAGGGAGCATCAGCAGAGACACATGGGAGCCCTAGCAGTACTACATAAATCAAGGAAACATCATAAAGACTCTGAAAATTAAACTCTCACTGGAAGTATACACCCTAAAAGTAGAAAAGAACGTATGTGTTAATCTAAAATAGATTAAATTTAATTAAAATATTTAAATAGGACCCAGACTCCCCTAACTTAACAAAATGATCCAGATACAATAAAAAAATCACCTATCAGACCAAGAACCAAAAAAATCATGACTTGAGTAAGACAATCTGACAAAAATGGAATCAGACTAAAAAAAAAGACAACAGGAAAATCTAAAAATACATGAAATTAAACAATACACTTCTAAATAATCCATAACCGAAAGTCTCAAAGGGAATTTAAAAATACATAGTTGAACAAAAATGAAATGACAATATATCAAAATATGTGGAATAAAGCTAAAGAAGTACTCAGAGGAAAATGTATATCCCTGAATGCTTACAATAGAAAAGAGGAAAGGTCTCAAATAAATAATCTAAGTTTCTACCTCAAGAAACTAGACAAAAGCAAAAGAAACCCAAAGCAAGTTGAAGAAAGCGAATAATAAACAGAGCAGAAATCACAATCAAACAAAAGCTTGTTCTTCAAAAAAATTAAATAAAATAGGAGTAACGTCAGAAGCATGGTGACATAAGGGATTTCTCCTGATCTTTCCCCTTGAAATTATAGCAAGCTGAACATCTACACTCCAACAAATAACACCCAACCTGCACACAAATATTATCTGAGAGATCTGCACATCAGAACACTTGACTATTTGTGCAATACAGGGAAGTGGAAAGAGACATACAAAAGCGCTGTGGAAAATAGCCTGGAGCTCCCAGCAGGATGAGGGGGAGTAGGGGATTATGCAGTGTTTTTTTGGCTCTTTGAAGCTCCAAAAAGTCCTGCCTGAGTGATGGGCATATTCCATGCATGGAACCCAGTGATCAGGACAGAGAGCAGGGTAGAGACTGAGCACGGAGGGGTAACAGTTGTGTCTTAGCAACCTCCTTTTATACCAGCATTATTCATGGTGGCCAAGACATAGAAACAAACAAAGTATCCTTTCACAGATGACTGGATAAAAAAAGATGTGGTACATATATACAATGGCATAATACTTGGCCATAAGAAAAGATGAAATACTGCCATTTGAGACTGTCAAGTGAAATAAATCAGACAGAAAAAAAAAATGAGAACCATATGATTTCACTCATATGTGGCATATAAAACTGAAAACAACAAACATGACAAACAAACAGAGACACATGGATAGTGGCTTAGTGGTTACCAGAGGGAAATGTGGGAGGAAGGAGATAGATGGGGTAAAGAGGATTAAATACTTGGTAAAAGAAGGAAATTTAACTTTGGGTGGTAAACACACAATGCAATATACACAGGATGTATTACTGAATTGTACATTTGAAACCTAGTTGATTTTATTAACCAATGTCATCCCAATAATTTTAGTAAAACAAGCAAAACTAAAATAGATAAACCTATCACAAATGACAAAATAAAAAGAGAGAAGACAAATCATCAAAATCAGCAAGGATACTGGATATATCACTATACATTCTGCAGCAATTAAAAAGATAATAAGGAAGTATTATAAACAACTTTAGGTTTACAAATTTTAAAAGTTAAGAGAACATGGACAAATTCCTCAGAACCCTAAACTATCAGAATTCAACCAAAAGGAGATAGATCATCTGAATAGCAGTATTACCATTAAAGAAATTAAATTCATAATTAAAAAAATTTTAGAAAAAAAGAAATCTCGAGGTCCATACGGTGTTATGGAAGATTCTACCAAATATTTAAAGAATGATCACCAATTTAATACAATCTCTTCCAGAAATGAAAAAGAGGAACTACTACCTAACTCATTTTATAAGGTCAGTGTCACCCTGGTAGCAAAATCATATACAGTACACTAAAAAAGAAATCTACATAAAAACATCTCCCACAAACTTAAATGCAAAAATTCTCAACAGAATATTGGCAAACTAAATATTACAATATGTAAGAATTATATACCATGATCAAATAGGATTTATTGCAGGTATGCAAAGCTGGTTCAACATTTAAAATCAATCACCACAACCCTCATATCAACAAGCTCTGAAAGACCATACTCCTAACAACTGACACAGAAAAGTATATGACAAATTCCACATCCATTCATGATGAAAACGCTAAGAAAATTAGAAATTATATAGACTTGATAAAGGCTATAAATAAAAAAATCCCTATACTAACATCATAAGTAATGGTGAAAGACTTATTGTTGTCCTAAAAATTGGAAACAAGGCAAGGATGTGTACCCTCATCACTCTTACCAACATAGTACTGGAAGTTGGAGCTACTACAATAAGAAAAATAAAAGGCACTGCAAATTATATGACTGTCTCTATATAAAAATCTCAAGAAATCTACAAAAAAACTTAAAACTAATAATAAGTGAGTTCAGAAGAGTCACAGGATACAAGATCAAAACATAAAATCAATGGTATTACTACATAAAAACAATGACCAGGCAGAAAATAAAACTGAAAATAATACCATCTATAATTGCTCCAAAGAAAATGAAATGCTTCAGCATATATTTAACAAAACATGTAGAGGATGAATACACTGAAAATTACAAGTTGATGAAAGAAATCAAAGAAGACCTAAATATAGAGACATACTGTGTTCACTGATCGGAAAAATCAACCCTCTTCAAACTAATATATAGGTTTAAAGTAATTTCTAGCAAAATCCCAACAAAATTCCTTGTAGACACAGAAAAGCTTACTCTAAAATTTACATGGAAATGCACAGGTCATGGAATTGCTAAAATAAAATTTTATCTTGACAAAAAAAGAATAAATGAAAGAATCACTCTACCTGATATATATTAAGGGTTACTATATTATATAGCTACAATAATCAAGACAATATGATATTGGCAGAGGAAGCGACACACACAGCTTGATGAAAAAGAGCAGATACATACAAATATGCCCAATTGATCTTTGACAAAAGTTTTTACAATTCCATGGAGGAAGGACAGCCTTTTCAACAAATGGGGACTAAAACATCTAGACCTCTATAGGCAAAAAAATGAGCCTCAACCAAAACGTCACACCTAATATAATAACTCAAAATAGATCATGGACTTAAATGTAAAATTATAAAACTTTTATGAAAAAACAGGAGAAAAGTTTAGGGATCGAGAGCTAGTCAAAGTTCTAGTCTTGACACTAAAATTACAATCTATAAAAGGAAAAAATGAAAAATTGGTCCTCATCAAAATTAAAAACTTTTACTCTGTGGAAGCCCATGGGGAAGATGATAGAAGGACAATATACGTAATTTTGAGTGACGTCAGAAACATGGTGGAATGAGAGTCGTCCCCAGATCTCTGCCTTGAAACAACAATAAGCTGAACATTTAAAACTCAACAAAAAACACCCAAACTGCACACCAGCACATCTGAGCGTGGGATCTGCACATAAGGGCTACCACAGGTTAGAAACCTGGATGTTGGGGTGTGCATTGGGAGAAACAAAGAAGCTGCCACTTGCAGCAAGAGCTCCCTGCAGGAGGAGGGGGAGAGGAGAAGGAGAGGTAAGTTCCCCGAACAGCCCTGCCTGGGAAAGCTGTGAGCTCCACGATGCTGGCGGCAGGGCCCAGTCATCAAGGCATAAGGCAGAGAAGTGGGGATGGCATAGAAACAACAGTCGATTATTATCAGCTGAGGTTGCAAAACTCAAGGCTGAGCCACAGGCCCCATCCCTCAACCAGAGGGCCCCTCTGCCATATCCTCTGAGACCGAACACTGCAAGCCACAGGGGAATCAGAGCAAACGCAACCAAAACTGTCACTAACACTGACAGGGACTGAAACTGAGGGTAGCAAGCATGACTGAATATCTATAAGGAAAAAAAAGGCATTATTAAGACTTTATATAAAGCAGGGATCCAAGAGGCTTAGACACCACCTATTGGAAACCAAAAGAAAAACACCTTCTTTGCAACAGGCTA